TTTTTCAGGATTTGGTCTAAGTGGACAAACTATGTAAAAGCAGTAATCCCTGTGATCTAAACTTGTCTTACCACATGCAAATACTGTTGTGCTGTGTACTGTTCCCTTTTGGCAGGCCTATGTCCTGAATTGTGCTTTTCCCCAAAAATAAGGAAAATTTGAATCAGACCTCATGTTCCCACCCGCTCGCTTTTTTAAGTTATAGATGTTTGGTTATTATACAAAAACTCTGGATCGGCTTATGTTGTTCTTTTCCATATTTCCACTGTGGTGGAAGGTTGAATGTACAAAGTAATTGTAACCTGCCTTTCCAAATAAAAATGTCAATATAAAAAAAAAATAAATAAATTTACAAGGTTGTAAGATTTTAAAAAGTATTTAGCTGACAAAAGAATACAATTTTTTTACACCCAGAGCTGACTTATTTAGTCTTTGTTTAAGAGTAACTCTCAGACTGAATGAACAAAAAGTTTAAAACATCCATAAATGATTTTGTATCTGGTTCAGCTAAAAAGGGGGGAAAAAAATCACTATTCCAAATTCCAAAAGTTAATTTAATCTAGATTAAAATGTTTCCTTGTCATTTATTTCAGCTTTTAACAAAAAAATCAAATTAAGTAACAGTATTTCTCTCTATTTAACAGAGCCCATTGAAATCTGCTACTTGTCTTGTATAAATTTATTTTAACAACTTACAAGCTGTTCTTTTAAAATTAGCTATTTCTGCCCTGACTTTTGCAGTTTATCTCATAAACAATAAATCAATAAACAATTGCTTATTCATTTATCTGATACTGTTTGTCCTCTTTTTAACAGGTAAAGAAAGGACAATGAATGTCTTAAAAAGCTGCAATATTAGCATCCAAATATAAGCCGTTATTTTAATAGAGTCAAGTTTTAATAGAAAGTTGCAGTCAGACACGTTGCACTTTTTCATAAAAGCTGATTTTCTGCCATCAAGCTCAGGTTTAGTGTTACTGATAATGCACTGATGTAATGGAATCATAAAATAAATGTGAAATGTATTTTAAAAAAAATTGTCAAACTTGGAGACCTTTGTTTTTTTACCATTAGCACGATTTGCATGCTAATGTTAGTCATTTTGTGTTTTCTTATCAATTCCAAAAATCAATGTATCAAGAAGCTAACATAACTCCACCCATCAGATAACTTTGGGAGGAGCAGAAACTGGCTGTTTAAAAGTTGGAGATCCTGAGCCTGTTTAACCCACACCTGACTAAGGGAACGACCAAACAAAAG